GTTCATTTACATAATATGTATATACTACCAGGGGCGAACAGCACTCCCAGATATGGACTCATATGGCGGAATTGGGCCACCGCTTTAATTTTAATGAGGTAGACGTCTTGGCTAGTGACAGTACAAAGGGAGGCCGACTGCTAAAGGAAGCATGGCTATCCAATAGCAGCTCTATCAACCGGCATATTGACCTCTGTCCAGCACACTTGGCATTTAGATCATGGAGTGCGACCAACCACCCATCTCGCTATTACCGGCCCGACAACAAACCTAGCGAGAAAGCCACAGGTGATATGCCAACCCCCCAGTCAGCTTGGTGCAATCCAGAAGAGGAGGGACAGCGACTAAGAATCCCCACTACCCCCGCAATGTTAACACGCTTGCAAAAAGCTAAGAGAGCAATAGAAATTAAAGCCCAGAACTCCTGCATTATGAACATCGGAGATATCCCATTTAGCATGCAAGGAAACACGATAGACAAAGATGGGGAGAGATCGTTAAACCGGACACCTCACCGACGCTCAGAAAGAAACAAGATGACCGACTTAAGGGAGAAGAAGCGACCCCCCTACTCCGCATCATCAGCCGGCCCAAAAACATATGGAGTGCGGGACGGCACTGAGCATAAAAACAAGCCTGCGGACGCTCCGGAAAGTAAGGAGAAAAACGAGCCCAGACGGAGAGGTGCGAGAGAGGGTGGAGCTAATGAGATCAGCTTACCGCGCCTCGTACCGGCAACACCCATGGACTCCAAAGACTCCTGTCATACACACGCAGGAGCGAGAGACGTCGGAACGAAGAGGAGGGTAAAGAAGGAGCGTTATCACGCTCAGAAAGATCGCAACTCCACCCCCCCCAGACCAAGACCTCGGATTATAGCATGTGCGACAAGAGCGCAGAGGACAAAAAGGAGGGGAAGGGTGTGGTAGTCAAAGATAATTATAACTATGAGACCACCCCCATAGAAAAACAACCTATTGAGCCACCCCAACCGATCTGGAACACTGCGTATGACCATCTTGATGACAGTTGGGCACGAGGGAGGGGCGTTAAGGACGAAAAGAAAGATACTCATAGAGAAAGTGACTGGGTAAAACGTGATCTGGGAAAAGAAAAGGACAAATGCAAATTACCACTCAAACCCGAAAGGGAGAATGGATTGAGGGATAGAGACAGTCGGAGAGATAAGGAGTTTATACCACCTGCCTCAGAAGTCAAATAAAAGAAGGTAGATGAAGATACACACGTAGCTAGGAAGGACAGGAAGAAACGAACCACCGGAGCACAATTTAACCAATTGGGCCCGATGACGGGATCAAGGAGCCGAGTGCAGACTCCGGCTTCCCTATAAAATGACTCTCTCACACCCTGGCGGCCCAGCCCTGATGATGCCGGCAGGTGACGGCGAAAGCTTGGCGTTTTTAAATTAAACTTTTATAGTTTTAATTAGTACCTTGGTGTTCATTTTATTTTAGATATGAATATTCCCAGGGTTCATATTTTTAGCATCATTAACCATACTACCATTTGAAGGACATGGAATGTGTGCACTTACTCCTGGGCATTGCCAGGCATCATTGCCAAAGCTGGGCTTTGGGAAAATATGTATGAGTGAATATGAAGTATATCTTTGCCTTTTATGCAGATAGTTCAATCATAATACAGTGTATGCTAGGAAACTTGAGGCCCAGCAGCATTCTCTAAATTAGCTGCACTAATATGACTAGGAAATTCAAAGGTTTCTTGGACACTGATACCAGCAGCTTGAATTTCCCATTTGCTTATGCCCCATAGAGACTGTTGTACTTGGAAGGTCTGATCATAATGCTAGATCCGTAGTAGCGAACCTATGGCACGTGTGCCACAGGTGGCACACAGAGCCCTCTCTGTAGGCACGTGTGCCATCGCCCCAGTCCTAGGCCTTCAGCTGGGTTTTATAAAACCTTTTCGCTTTAGGCCTCCGCCACCGTGTGCAAAAACAAAAAGGTTCAATCAATCAATTTCAACTTCTTGCAGGAAAAAAATGATTTCACAAAGTTGGAATTGATTGATTAAACTTTTTAGTCCCACCCAGTCTGTCATTACCACTGCAGCCACGCCCACCCAATGGGTTACACTCACCCAATGGGCCACACCCACCCAATGACCACACCAACCTGGCACCTGACGATACATAACCAGGTATTGGGTTGCAGTTTGGGCACTCGGTCTCTAAAAGGTTCACCATCACTGTGCTAGATAATCTGTGATTTATTGCCTTCTTAATTATGACAGAACCATAGCTGAGTGTCACTTTTTCCCATCAGCTTTTGGGAAGAATTTATAGAATCAGGAAGTAACACATTAACAATACGTTTGCTTCCTGGTATTATTGTGAAGTTCATCTACAGCCAATATTATGAAGAGATTTGAAAAGGGATCATTAATAATTAAAGAATTCTCCTTTCATGCCGTTCTGGAACCAGCCCTCTCACTGGAGGTACAAAAGAAGATTATTAAACAGGACTAACTTGAAATATATTTTTTGTGTATATGTTTTGTCTTTGTTTTTCACTCATCCAGTTATTTTTTTAAAGGTGGTTATTTAGTATATCTACTAATAAAGATAATGTTTCATTTGATTTAACCTTGACTCTTGATAATTTAATGGATACACACATGTAGCTTTCAGGAACACTATTGAAGTATTTTGTAATTGCTGCCTTTTTTTTTTAACCTCTCAGTCTAGTTGATGATCTTGGGAATTTATGATGGTCTTCCATCCAAATAGGAATGAATGTGCTTTGTTTTTTGAGATCAGACAAACTTGGACCACCTTATGTTACCAGTGCCAAACATAGAGACTTAAAATAAAGCATAAATGAAAGTTAGTTACTGCCAAAATGAGATGCCTGAGGAAAGCTGGCAGAATGACTAAGGGTTAAAATCAGGAATGAGATTATAAGGAAAAGAATTGGAATAGAACCAATATTAAACTACATAAAAAGATAGCAAATAAAGTGGTTTGTCCATCTGGAGAGACTATCTGGGGATTCCATACCATGTAAGGCATACATAAAAAGGTCAAAGAGCATGAAGCATACCTGGAAGAAAATGGAAATACAATGTCGCTATCAAACAACAATGGTTGAGGCTGGGAGAAATGCAAGAACCAAAACTTTGTATTAAGGAAGAGGAGGAGAAAGATTGGAGAGATGCTGTCCTTTAATGGGCCATCATAACTGCTGATAATATCAGCCTCTCTAGGCAGACATAAAATTGAAGCTTCCCAAATATTTGAAAGGACACAACTTTAGGGTAATGTAGGAACAGAATCTATTCCAAACAGCTGGCAGTTTCTGAAAGCTGTGAGTCCCTTTAAGAAAGTATCTCTTCTTCTAGTTTGCATCCAATATTCCCCTCCTTCTTGTGTTTTTCTCTGGGTAACAGATGTCCTGCTTTCTAGTTCTCAGGATCATCAGTGGGATTTGCTCATCTACATTCTGTACATTCCTATTCCAAGAATCTGTTAACTATAATAGAGTTGTGAGTGATAAAGTACAACGTGTATGGGTAATGCTATTTAAAAAGTTGTGATGGTCAAAAGAATGCGTATGTTTAAAAGCACCATTCTTGGTGACCAAAAGGGGCATTTGTAGGGTAAAGGAAAAATTAAAGATGCTGATTGAAGTTCTACCCCTTTTGTACAGGCATTTGGTGAACAGGTTATTATAACCATTACTATCATATTTTCAAGTTGCAAATTTAGAAAATTGAAACATCAGTTGAGTCAATGAAAAATATAAACACCAAAGAGAAGCTATACATTTCTAGGCTGGACTTTCACTTCTTTCCAAGCTATGATTTCTTTAAACCATGACTAGTTAAATAAGCCTCAATTAATTAGGTTGTGCTAAAACTATATTTTCATTTAGTTTGATATATAATCCCAAGCTATAAATTATTATTATTTAAATGTATTATAACAGCCCTCTCTAAAAAATGCACTTGATCTTGAAAAAGAAAAGCAATATCAGCTTAGTGCCGAGAGGTAGGAATGAATGAGAGGGAAAACTCAAGACTGCCCTGTCTTGATTCTCTTTAAAGAATCAATTCTCCCTTCTTTAGAGTTCCAGGAATTCATGTGGTTTTTATTTTCCTCTAACAGACAGCCTTGAAGGGCTGACACAAACAGGGGTTTTAGAATGAGAGGTATAGAGGAGATAGATGCAACAATCAGAATTCAATGAGTTGTATGCCAATTCATAATTTCAAATTGGCCATGATTTTTATTCCATGATTTGCCAAGAAAACTACATGGATACAACCATGAAATCACCAGGACTCATTCTTGACTTAAAAGAAGCTTGATTTTACATAATTTATAAACAACTATATGTTTTAGATTAGTTATTTATGTTTCTACAACAACTTTGCAACATTTCTTTCTGGTGACATGACAGATCTTTTTTGGAAATGTGACAAGCTCTAGTTTAGCAATATGTGCAACTAGCTTTTGAAAGTAAATACCACATCCCTTCTCCTTCTCAAGCGTCCTTGCAAGGGGAACTGAAATTATCATTCTATTTTTAAATTGATCTGTTTCTACAAATACTGAAAATCATGAGATCCTGGCTTATTTACATAAGCAAGCAGCAAATCACAATCTCTTATTGGAATATATTTTGATCGTGCTTTGGAATATAATGAGAATTTTAAAGTCAGCAATGATTATGTATCTGAGAATGTTGGGGTTATTGCTTACATTGTGTGTCTTATTTCATCTGGAATCATTGGGTGGAGATAATAAATGTGTATAATAAATAAATACATAAATAAATTTATATTAATATCTTCTTATATGTAAACTTGAACTCTGCAAAAATTATTGCCAAGGAAAAAATCCTGCCTACTGATTATTTACTCAATGTTTGAGAAAGCATTTATATTTGTGTTTCAATAAATCTAATTTTAGCAGCCATTATTTAAAAGGAAAATAAATATATTTGTTAGATACATACATGTCAATAATTCAAGTATTTGTGGCTCTGTGACCATGTCCTCTTGTCCTGGTTTCTCCACTTGTTCTACCCAGCTTCTATGAAGAGATATAAAAGAAAGCTTATGAAGCCTTCTCTCCATGCAACTTGAGATCTTTATAAATTTGATAATTGAAATCATACTTAAGTTCAACAAATGGTGAATATAATGCCCTCCAGATCTCATCATCCCATTTTAGAAAGGAGGATGCAATTTGAGGATTTATGTGGCTGAATTAATTAAATGAAGTTCATAAATACAATATCTTAGTGATATCATCCATCTGAATAATGAGGAAAGGTATGGATAAAATTTATACCGTTCCAAATATCTTTCAAAAATGCCAACTGGCTGTTTGTCTTCATTCCTATAGAACGGATTATTCTACACTTGTCATAGGTTCACAAAATCCCATACAAAAGAATTTTAACATGAATTGCTAATTTCTATTGTTAATCTTAACTTAATGGTTTTATTGAAAGATAAAGAAGAGCTAAATATTAAAATCCAGTTAAAAATCATCCACCAAAAATATTACTTTCTTTACGTCTAAAATACTCGGTGTGCATGGTTGTTCATTTATGTCGCTAACCCACAGAGGAAAAGTATATTTTACATTAATGGAGCACCTGATAGCATTCATTATTGGCTAAGAAATAGCTCAATTAACAGGAAAAATAATTATAATGTATATTTTACTAAAGAAAAGAACTTCTTAAAGGTTTCTCAGTGAACAAACAGGAAGATATAAAAATACATAGCAATGGTTTAAAAGGTTGGTTGATTTGGTTGGGATTATTATTCTGTCCCATTTATTTATTTATTTATGAAATGTACATAACCATACCTATTATCAAAGGCAGCTCTAAAGATCTGTTTATTCTTAGTTTGAGAGTTTATTTTAGCGCTTTTCATGTGTTTTAGTACACATGGAACACAGCATTTTCTAAACTAAGTTAAGAAGGAGGCCCATTACTCTTTGCCTCTTAGATACTGGAAGTATCAAAGCAGCAGTAATATTTCTTCAAAATAACTTCTTCTATTTATGCAATCAACTATAGGCTCTGTCTTGCAGCTCACTTTAAGGTGCATGGAGGAAACTCCTGGCTTAATTTTAAGACTTCTTATATTTTCCCCCCACTCAATGCTTTTGGTGAACTTTTGCATCGATCATAGTCAAGCTCTTTCTTTACAGGTAGTCCTCAACTTATAACTGGTTCAAATTAATAGGGGTCTTGGAAAGGATACTTCATGGACCATAAAACACTTCCCATTGTTGGAAAATGTTGTATATGCACATTCACAGTCACACGATTGAGATCTAGGTGCTTGGCAACTGGTCATGTTTATGACCAGTTGCCGAGTATCCATGATTATTCTATTCTATTCTATTCTATTCTATTCTATTCTATTCTATTCTATTCTATTCTATTCTATTCTATTCTATTCTATTCTAAATATCATTGCCATTTGCAATCGTCTTTGTCAACTTCCCCAGAAAGACAATTAGGAAGCTAGCAGGGAAGATTTGCAAGATGCTATCCCCTGCCGAAAGGTCTCCTTCTGCATGGAGCTGAAATCCTCTACCAGGCAACTATTTCACTCTGTCCATTTAATGACCTGGGAGAACATTTAACAACTGCAACCAGAAGTACAGGTTTCCAATCACTGAGTGAAGGACTCAGGTGAGCATCTCACTTAGTAACTGCTTCCCTCAAATGACCAAGATTCTGGTCCCAATTATAGACATAAGTCACAGACTACCTATATTATGTATGTTGAACACTGAGATGAGTCATTGAGCTAGAGAGAAATTGGGCCAGATCTCAAAGTGGCTCGCTCCTCCTGTGGAACTTGTGATATTTAAAAAGGAAAAGGGAACCATCATCAGGAAGCTTTGCTCGGAAAGTTTGCAGAAAGATTTGAAGAACAGCCTAGGAAATTGGCAGGCTCAGGGAATATAAGAAAAAGGCCCACCTGCTTAAACTACAAATAAGAAGACAAGCCCTGACATCAAGGAAGCCAGGACAGTGAAATAGTCATAATTTTTAAGGCAAACCACCTTGATAAGGAAAAACAATGTCCAGTAAAAAGACAGCTTCTCACATTTCCTGCAGTGAAAAAGTTTTGAGAAGAGTGAGCTTCTGACATTTTGCCCTTGATGTGCAAGAATCTGTGAAGCCTGTGGATTATAAGAGAGAATTCAGCACAATGGACAAGGAACTTGCATGCTTATCTGTCTTATAAGTAAGGGAAGCTGAAGAATCCCACATTAAGATGTAGGAACATTTACATTTTAAAAACTATTTCATTTTGATCAAACTGAATCCAAATGCCTGAGAAATTATTAGCCTCAAGCTATTTAGGACAGACAAAAGGGAGTAATTTTTTCACACCCCACTTAGTTAAAGAGGTGGTGACAATCATTAGCTTGGATAGCTTCAAAAGATAATTGTTAAATTCAAGAACAAAGCTATCAACAGCAGCTAGCTGGTTTCATTAAGTATATTATTCCCAATCATGGGAGCTGCTTCCCTTTTGATACGACATTCTCTCCTGGAAACAGAAAGCCAAGAAATTGTCATTTTCTGATGTCTTTCTTCTGAGCTTCTTGTTGGCATTTGAGATAACATTACAATCTTTTGATTTGTTCCTTCAGCCAGTCACTTTTTCTCAGCCCTAGGAAGGAGGCAATAACAAACCACTTCTGAAAAACCTTGTCAAGAAAACTGCAGGGACTTATCCAGGCAGGCTGTGAGAATTGACATAACTGAATGGAAACACACACACTCTCTCTCTCCCTCCCTCCCTTTCCCTCTCCCTCTCCCTCTCCCTCTCCCTCCCTCTCTCTCTCTCTCTCTCTCTCTCTCTCTCTCTCTCTTTCTCTCTCTCTCTTCCAATCTGCCCTTATTATCTTTCTTTGAAAATTAACAGATAATTTTTAATGAACATCTGTTAAAAATGCATGGATATGAACAAATGTTTCAACATGGGTGAAAAGGCAGCTCATTTTATTTTAATGAAATGAAGCAATATACTGTAAATACAAAATGCAGATTTGCTTGAGATTAAGTTATACAGTTTGTGATGCTGTTTTAAAAGAAACCTAGATCCTCTAATCCTCATTAATCCAACATCTTTATTATTACCTTATCTCCACAGATTCTAAAATATTTAAATCAGTCTCGTTTGTAGAGATTAACAATTTTCAAACATGAACTACTCTCAGATATATAGCCTTGACACTGGAGTCACTTAAATAATTCTCATTCTCAAACTCTTGTACTACCATGTTTTTAAATCAAAAGTTATCTCAACCCACCCGACTCCACTGCTCACATCCAAAACCTGTTTATGTTTCTTCCTACTTGTGTCTGCTGAACAACATGCTATAGTTGGCTGCTTATCAGATAGCAAGAGCCCAAACGTAGAGAATCGATGTTAAAGATTTTCTCCTTCATAAGGCAGTATTACTACCATACTCTTGTATTGTTCCATTTTCTCTGCCTCGTTTACCCTCAGCATGTACATCTGCAGTTGCTAAAAAAGAGGGAAATAAGAAGTGAAAATTATAACTCTGACTGCATTTTTATAGGTCCTTGCATGGGAGGAAATATTTTGTGGAGTATATTTTGGTGTTCTTTGGTAGATTTATAATCCCAGCATAACCAGTCCGAATGAGCTGGAAAACTGATTATTTCCTGTTTAGCTGAATGAACCATGAGGAGGTTAACACTCTGCAACCTGAAATGAAAATAGCCTAAAGAAAGAAAGCAGAAGATAATCATAGAAAAGAGAAAACTGATTTGTTCTTCAAATTTAAAGGAAGCAGATTTTAATTAAATATCTATTCATTCATACAGAATGTGAAATAATGGTAAATGAGCATTTACTAGAATATTAATTATATACTTAAGGGCTAATTGCAGCATATTATCAATTAATGGGTCTTTAACACACTAAATATACATTGGTACATAATATTAATTGAGTGCTACTTCAGGAACTTGATTTTGCATTCCTTAATTAGATGGTGTCACAGAATATAGACACTAACCCTTTTCCGTACTTTGCACTTCTATTCATTTCTTATAAACATATGGACTTTATATTGAACCATGCCATTGGTTCAATTATCCAGGTTTATTTCTGAATTATGAAATATAGTAACTGTTAAGTATTTTGCCAAGCTTCTCTATATACAATCCTTTTTGAGATACCAAAAAAATAAAAAGATTAAAATATTTTATTTTTCGAATTAAAATCAAAGTTATCTCAACCCACCCAATATCTCTTCTGCAATATCTCTCCCTAGAATATATCTTTTATTAGGGATGAATGATCTACAAAATGAAGTTTGGAAGATTCATGATGAAAATATGATATTGGTGTCAGGGATAATAAGTAAAGTACTTTTATCAAAGGTATCTGCATGTGGGGAAGGGGCTGGAGGGATTAATATGGCAGTGTAACCATGGAATCACAAGCTTCATGCCTTTTTTTTATACGTGTTACAGATAAAGAAGAGGCAGGATCCTTGAATCACAGTTGCCATATTTGACCTTTCCTTCCCATGGATACCCTTGAATCAGACAGTCAGATGCATACAGCATCAAATATACTTGATGATAATCAAAAGAGGAAGTGCATTTTGATTGCAGAAGTTTTTTTTCCACAATACCCTTCTTGTTACATTCATTTATTGTTTTATATGTCTCAAATTCTTCAGATTCTTCAAATATGAGAGAGAGCTACATTTATAACAGGAACTGCAGCACGTTATTTCTTATTTTGTTTTGGTTTTCCTGTTAAGAAATTTAAGATACTGAATGGAAGACATTTCAAATTCAGAAGTAATTCATTCATTTAAGCTTTCCAGTCCCATTTGGCTATGATAGAATGTGTTCCGTAGCCTAAAATGGTATGGCTTTGCACTGTATTTGCAATAACAGCACCTGCTAAAACAGAGACATTATTCTGGTGATTGAATCCATTTCTCCCTCATGAACTTCCTTTGGTGTTTAGCTATTGAAGGTATTTAAGATGTACAATAATTAA